TCCATTACCGTGTTAAATAATTTCATAAGGTCCCAGTGCTCATCGAGAATGCCACAGTAATAAAAAATAATAATAATAATCCACACTGCCTAGGAAAAGACTACTATAATACGAAACCATAAGAAAAAAGACGCATTACCCATCTCCATACCCAAAGGACAACCGAATAACCATACCAAATCGCACGGATATTGCAGCCCCCCCCCCCCAGTAGATTCGCTAAAGAACCGCCAGTATGTAAGTACATCACAAAATTAGGTAGGTTTAATCATGGTCTCCATAAAGTGACAAGTCTAATAAGCTATTCGACAGAAGATCCTCAGGTAAACTATGTATTAACGAAGCGTAATTCAAACGATGACACCCTAATCGAGGGCCAGACGTTGAACCGTGGGCTCTCGCCAGTAGGATAAACAATAGCAAGGAATGCGATACCTCTGCCAGATACAAAATCACCTTTCTAACTTCCTCTAACCCCAAACCCCACCCTTATCCATTCCAACATCGTCCCAAATCCTCCTCTCCCACGTCACCCGCCTGCTTCCCTCAACCCCTCTGCTGCAATTAATCCACATTATAATGCATGGGTTCATATTAATGAAGTGCGTATGTGCGCTCATGCAGACATTGTTCAAACATTTGTAAACAAATATGAGCGCGTATGTACGGAAGTGTGCATGTGCACACTATGTACTCATAAACGTATGTACGCATAAATATATGTATGTTTATATATGTGTGAATGTATAGTCATAAGATGTGTATAAATAAGATATGTATGTGTTCACATATATGTAGGTTTATATACGCAAAAGTCATTGTATGTGTATGCAGGTGCAAGTGTATAGTTGTGTATAACGTAGGTGTATATATACATATCTATATGCATAGGAACATGTGTAAAGGTGTATGGTTGCATTTGCATGTACACGCAAATAAACATATTCGCAGTATTTAGGGCATTTGCGGGTGAACAACTATGTCTTCACTAAGTGTACACGCGCATAAATTAAATCAGTGTACAAAATATAATCACACACACACACACACACACACACACACACACACACACACACACACACACACACACACACACACACACACACACACACATATATGTCTTGCCTCCCACCAAGATACACCTAGCCAGTAGGTCGGGGGTAACTCGGCTGTCTAGCTCTCAATCAAAAACCATGACCGCACAAATTGAGCAAAGGCCCTCATTCCCCA